ACAATGTTTATTATGATTTATATAATGATACAATTATATAATGGGATGTATATAATGATACAATGTATAATAGAATGTATATAATGATACAATGTCTAATAGGATGTATATAATGATATAATGTATCTCTCTTCTCCATTCATAGAGAGAGAAAAAAACAAGGGGGCTGGGCTGCACAGTGACTGATCACTGTGATAGCCAATCAGAGGCTATCACAGCGATCATGTGAGCCGGGAGTCCTGGGTCCTGATCGTTAGAACAGGTCCTGGTACTCTCAGTGACACCGCGGTCTCAATGCTGGGAGTGTGCCAAGCGGCGCGCTCCCAGCACAAAGACAGGTACGCAAATATGCGGCCCCCACGGAAAAAAAGCCCAGTTCCGTGAGGCTGCATATTTGTGTGACGTAGGCGGGAAGGGGTTAAGGAAGAAAGAAAAGTGGAATCCATTTGAACATTTGTTTAGTACACGGGGGGGGTGGGAAGTACTTCGAAAATATATAACATTTTCACTAAGTTAGTAACAAACACGGTTCCTACATACAGTAGACATCACTAACCTGATCAATCACTGTTTTTGGTAGTAATGATATTTCTACATAGCAAATAATTTACTAGCAGGTGTAGTAGAGTAATAGAAATCCAACAGACCCAACAGTCATGACATGCATGCTGCTGATTCTGTGTAATTGAATCACTAATTGAAAGGGGCATGTTCAAAATAATAGCAGTGTGGAGTTCTATTAGTGAGGTCATTCATTCTTTGAAAAACAGGTGGCAATTATTGCCCTTATTTAAGGAAGGAAGGCAGGAAATGTTGTACATGCTGGTTACAGTGCATTTCTCTCTAAAATTCTGAGGAAAATGGGTCGTTCCAGACATTGTTCAGAAGAACAGCGTACCTTGATTAAAAAGTTGATTGGAGAGGGGAAAACATATAAAGAAGTGCAGAAAATGATAGGCTGCACAGCTAAAATGATCGCAAATGCTTTAAAATGGCAACCAAAACCTGAAAGACGTGGAAGAAAGCGAAAAACTACCATTCGAATGGATAGAAGAATAGCCAAAATGGCAAGGACTCAGCCAACAATCAGCTCCAGGAAGATGAAAGAAGGTGTAAAGTTACCTGTGAGTACTGTTACAATTAGAAGACGCCTATGTGAAGTCAAGCTATCTGCAAGAAGCCCCCGCAAAGTCCCACTGTTGAAAAAAAAGACGTGCTGAAGAGGTTACAATTTGCCAAAGAGCACATTGACTGTCCTAAAGAGAAATGGCGCAACATTTTGTGGACTGATGAAAGTAAGATTGTTCTTTTTGGGTCTAGTGGCCGGAGACAGTTTGTCAGACGACCCCCAAACACTGAATTCAAGTCACAGTACACTGTGAAGACAGTGAAGCATGGTTGCGCAAGCATCATGATATGGGGTGTAGCAAAAGCGCGCATCAGAGATGGACGCGGTTCAACCATTTTGGTTTCAACCTCCATCTTGGCGAAGGGACTAACCATCCTGAAATATAATTTCTTGCATCCTCCCCCCTTTCCTCTCTGTTCATCCACAGCAACATCTGGTTGTGGGTCACTGGCAGGCTAGAGCAGCAGGGGGCCCAGAGCTACAAAGCCCCCCAAGAGAGACAGAGCTTCTCTGCCCAAGAACCTGTGTAATTTCTCACCTCGTAACAGAGATAAGGCAGTTTTCCCAGGAATTGAAAGAGATTGTAACCTCATAAAACCCAGCAGCGTAGGTGACAGAATTAAATGAACACTCCTCAAATCAATTTTTATCCTATGTCCCATATCTTGGAATATGAGAGACACACATAAAAGCCGTACATATCATCGGATGGACGATTAGCAGGCAAAATAGGTAACTCAAATTGTCTCGCACGCTCAGGGAAGCAGAAACATCGATCTTGTGAACTGTGCAGCATATAATTTCATAATTCATATCTAAATAATCCTCAGACTTGTCGGTGTAATAATATACCCACGAGGGGACTATCGCTCATGCAGCTGAGAAGCTATAGACCAGAATATGAATTATGAAAGATGTTGGTTCTAATTTAGGGTTCCGCCCGACGATCCCTCCCTAAAGTATTGGTCAGTTACTCAGAGACACCCCCCTGCTGGGACATTTTAAAAACAGGCTAGCAGGCCTCAGAAGTTAAGTTAAAGACATCTCCAATTTTAACATCAATACCACCTGGGGAGACCCTTTCGCTCTGCAACTTGGATCTGCTTTCAAACCAAGGCATACTGGCGAGTAACTTAACCCTTTAACTTCCTTCCTATTATCTCTTTGCTGTGCTATGGTTCTTTATATATGTATATATATATCGTAGTTACATCTTCTTTGTAAATATTTTTATTTCCCGTTTGACCCATTTAGTAATAAATCCTTCTGATGAAAGTGTTGAACTGTTCCTATAGCTCTTAATCACAATTCACAAATCCCTGCCTTTGAAGAGACGCTACTGTTTGTTTTAATCTCTGTATAACCGGCCTGTGGACCGTTTTATACAGACAATTATTTCAATCATTATAGTGTATTAACTGATAACGCGAGTTTCCTCTTTCTCTGTACAAAAAGGAGGTGGTGGCAGTGTGAAAGGGTTAGTTGCGTAATTAACCCGACCCAGTAACAATCGCTCAGGCTGACGGCACATCGATCCGTTGTCCATTAGCTGGAAAATTGTTGTGCAGGGTGCCGCTGGGTGTGGGTGGCATTGTTACGCACGTCACATCGCAGTTTTAGATCGGCCAGTCCTTCGGTCATGAGTTTGTTGAGAAGGTCTGGGGCCTGACGCCGCGGTCGTGACATATTGGACGTCGTGATCGTGAGATTGTCGCATGTTGGTGGCGGCGATCTTGCGATCCGTGACATGGGGATGTTTCTCATACTACGGTGTTGGGCCTATTTATCGCATACCAGGGATCATGGATCAGTTTGAATACATCAGAATACTTGAAGAGGTCATGCTGCCATATGCTGCAGAGGAAATGCCCTTGAAATGGGTGTTCCAACAAGACAACGACCCCAAACACACCAGTAAACGTGCAACATCTTGGTTCCAGACCAACAAGATTGACGTTATGGAGTGGCCAGCCCATTCCCCGGATCTTAATCCAATAGAAAACTTGTGGGGTGACATCAAAAATGCAGTTTCTGAGGCAAAACCAAGAAATAGAGAAGAACTGTGGAATGTAGTCCAATCATCCTGGGCTGGAATACCTGTTCACAGGTGCCAGAAGTTGGTTGACTCCATGCAACACAGATGTACAGCAGTTCTCAGAAACAGTGCTTATACAACTAAATATTAATTAAGTGATTCAAAGGAAAGCAAAATCTTCAAACATTTTTCAGTTTATATAGTGAATGTTTGAGTTTGTAAAGAAGAATACAAACACTGCTATTTTTTTGAACAGTCTAATATTCACTTTTCTTCAATTTTTTTAGAGGAACAACACAAATTTGATCTATTTTTCTTCATGTTTTGATTTGGAATAGAATGTGTAGTGTTCCCAATGCATTTGTGTGTATGGAAATAAAAGCTATTAGAAGGATTTTCAGCTTTATTCACTTTTTTCAACACGCTGCTATTATTTTGAACACAACTGTATATGGAGAAATGGAAAGGAGAACTAGGACTAAGGATAGAGGAAGAAACACAAAAAAAGATTTATAAGTGATCACACGGTAATATAAGTATGAAGACATAGAGATGAACTATAAATGTTTGGCGAGGTGGTACATGACACCAAATATAACACACAGACAGAATAGGGATAAATCACCCTTATGTTGAAGGGGGTGTGGGGAACAGGGCACAATGGGTCACATTTGGTGGGATTGTTGTAAAATCCAAAAAATATTGGGAAGAAATAATTCACCAGATACAGGAAATAACTGGGATAAAAATATCAAAGGTCCCCGGGATATGTCTTTTTCATGGAACAGAACTAACGGTTGAAAAATATAAAAAGTCTGGATTATTGAATTATATTAACGCAGCAAAAAGTTTGATTCCTAAATTTTTTTGGGGGGGGGGGGGACAAGAAGCACCAAAAGCAACGGATTGGATTAAAAAGGTAGATCAGATATATAGAATGGAGGAACTATATCATATAGATGAGGATACAATGGAGTGGTTTTGTGAAAAATGGAAAAAATGGGAGGAGTTTAAGAAGGTTAAATTAATTGAAAGCATATAGGAATGGAAGGAAACCCCAGGACTATAAAAAGAGAGGGGAAGGACACTGAGTGGAGGGGGGGGGGGAGGGTGAGGGGTGGGAAGAGGACGTGTGGAGTGGGGAAGGGAGGGGGGGGTTTATATTTTGGGACGATTCTCCAATCTTCTATTGTCATATTTTGTGTGATCCTGTGTGAATTGTAGCCTCCGTTTCCTGTTCTTAGCTGACAGGATTGGCACCCAGTGTGATCTTCTGCTGCTGTAGCCCATCTGCTTCAAGGTTGGACGTGTTGTACGTTCAGATATGGTATTCTGCATACCTTGGGTGTAACAAGGGGTTATTGGAGTTCCTGTTGCCTTTCTATCATCTAGAACCAGTCTGCTCAATCTACTCTGACCTCAACAAGGCATTTTCCTCCACACAACTGCCACTCACTGGCTATTTTCTCTTTTTCGGACCATTCTCTGTAACCCCTAGAGATGGTTGTGTGGGAAAATCCCAAGAGATCAGCAGTTTTTTAAATACTCAGACCAGCCCGTCTGGCATCAACAACCATGCCACATTCAAAGTCACTTAAATCCCCTTTCTTTCCCATTCTGAGGCTCGGCTTGAACTTCAGCAAGTCGTCTTCACCACGTCTAGATGCCTAAATGCATTGAGTTGCTGCCACGTGATTGGCTGATTAGCAATTTGTGTTACCAAGCAATTAATCAGGTGGACCTAATAAAGTGGCCAGTGAGTGTAGATCAAAGTTTTGTTGGCTTTATCCCAAATGTCCTCCATAGCCAGAGAACGACTTATGGAGAAGGTCAATATTAATTGTGGACAGAAGCCCCTATTGTGTGAGACCTCTGATGTTTAACAAGATCTTTATTATGCATATAACATTTCCCGCACTCTGGACAGGCATACGGCTTCTCCCCCGTGTGAGATCTCTGATGTCTGGAAAGACTGAACTTCTCTGAAAAACATTTCCCGCATTCAGGGCAGGAATACAGCTTCTCCCCCGTGTGAGATCTTTGATGCTTAACCAGGTCTGATTTATTTGAACAACGTTTCCCGCACTCGGGGCAGGAATACGGCCTCTCCCCCGTGTGAGATCTCTGATGTATAACAAGTTTTGCTTTCTGTGTATAACATTTCCCGCACTCGGGGCAGGAATACGGCTTCTCCCCCGTGTGAGACTTGTGATGCGTGTCAAGATGGAACTTCAGTGAAAAACATTTCCCACACTCAGGGCAGGAATACGGCTTCTCCCCTGTGTGAGATCTTTGATGTCTAACAAGGTCTGATTTCTGTGTATAACATTTCCCGCACTCAGTGCAGGAATACGGCTTCTCCCCTGTGTGAGACTGCTGATGTATGTAAAGATGGAACTTCTGTAAAAAACATTTCCCGCACTCAGGGCAGGAATACGGTTTTTTCGCCCGTGTGTAAACTCCGATGTCTGGAAAGAGTGGACTTACGTGAAAAAAAATTCCCGCACTCAGGACAGGAATACGGCTTTCCACCCATGTGAGATTTCTGATGTACAGTAAGGCTTAATTCAGAGCTAAAACATTTCCCACACTCAGGACAGGGAAACGTCTTCTCCCCCTGAATCCCATCCCCCACAGTACGAGGGTGCTCAGAGTCAGAGGGACTCCATGGTCTCTCCACCCTGGGAAGTCCACCATCCATAGTGGAACTCATTGTCTTTTCTCCGGCACAATCTCCTGGGATGTCCTCATCTTCCATTTTACAACCTGGAGATAAAGTGAGACGATCCTTTGAGGGTTTCTCCATGGCGGGTCCTGGAAAAATAGAAAAACATCATCAATAGATAGGAGAGGGTTAGTTCACTTCCATCAAGATTCCATCTGGATCAGGGAGACAGGAGGGAACAGATGTTCTCTGTGGATGTCCCAACCAGCTGGGACTCCTCCCCTCTTCAAAGGGCCTTTGGTCCTACCAGATCACTTCTACATTTACACCACCTTGTCAAAGGGGACTGGGGGGGTGGTAACAGAGCAGAGATAAGAGAAGAATATATTCTGGTCACCTGTGCTGATCTCTGTAGGAGTGTCCTCCTCTATGAATGTCCTCCTCATTCCAGCCTCCTCCGTATATTGCTGATCATCCCTCACATACGTCTCTTCTACTTCACCCTCAACTTTCATGTTCATCAGATCTTCACCCTAAACCAACAGAATGGCAGAAAATAACATCTGTAACATAGAAGGATTTATGATGTGAGATCACATAGAACATCTCATCTTGTAGAGTCCACACATCGTCTCCACATGTCAGAGTGTTCCATCACTTTATGTTCCCGACCCTCAACTCCACCTACCTGATGATGGTGAGGGATGGTGTGACCTTCCTGTGTGGAATCCCAGGAATACAGAGGACGGGGACATCTCTCTGGTGGGTTCCCATGACTGGATCCACCTACCTGATGATGGTGAGGGATGGTGTGACCTTCCTGTGTGGAATCCCGGGAATACAGAGGACGGGGACATCTCTCTGGTGGGTTCCTGGTATTAGGTGGCTCCAACATATTATATCCTTAAAGATATTCTTTTGTCCTTCAAAGAGGTCCTTCACCACTCCATCCTCATCATCCTCCTCTTTTATCTCTTCTTTAACATAAATTTTAGACACAATTGGATTTCCACTCTGAATATAGAATAAAAATGACATCAATGGTAACAATGCAGATAATGTACAGATCCTAATGATACTATCAGTGATTGTTCCTCATCTACCTGATGATTGTGAGGGATGGTGTGACCTTCCTGTGTGGAATCCCGGGAATACAGAGGACAGGGACGTCTCTCTGGTGGGTTTTTCTTATTTGGAGAGCTCCATCATATCCTTGTGTCCATCTGAAAGTTTCTCTATCACTCCATCCTCCTCATCCTCCTCCTTAATCTCTTCTTTAACATCAGTATTATCATCCCCGAGGATTCCACTCTGAATATACAGTTGCAAGAAAAAGTATGTGAACCCCTTGGGATTACATGGAGTTTTGCATGAATTGGGCATAAAATGTGCTCTGAACATCATCTAAGTCACAACAATAGAAGAACACAGTCTGCTGAACATAATACTACACAAACATTAGATGTTGCCATGGTTTAATTGCACATATAACATGTAAACATTCACAGTGCAGGGAGGAAAAAGTATGTGAACCTTTGGACTTAATAACTGGTTGACCCTCCTTTGGCAGCAATAACCTCAACCAAACGTTTCCTGTAGTTGCAGATCAGACCTGCACAACGATCCAGAGTCATTTTGGACCCCTCCTCTTCATAAAACTGTTTCAGTGTAGCAATATTCTTGGGATGTCTGGTGTGAATCGCTTTCTTAAGGTCATGTCACAGCATTTCAATCGGGTTGAGGTCAGGACTCTCACTGGGCCACTCCAGAAGGCGTATTCTGTGCTGTTGCAGCCATTGTTTTGTTGAATTACTTGTATGCTTTGGGTCATTGTCCTGTTGCATCACCCATCCTCTGCGGAGCTTCAGTTGGCGGACAGATGGTTGTACGTTTTCCTGCAAAATGTCTTGATAAACTCTGGAATTCATTTTCCCATCAATGACAACAATCCGTCCAGGCCCTGAGGCAGCAAAGCAGCCCCAAACCATGATGCTCCCTCCGCCATGTTTTACAGTGGGGATGAGGTTTTGATGTTGTTGGTGTGCTGTGCCTTTTTTCTCCACACACAGTGTTGTGTGTTCTTCCCAAACAACTCAATCTTGGTTTCATCTGTCCACAGTATATTTTTCCAGTAGTGCTGTGGAACATCCAGGTGCTCTTCTGCAAACTTCAAACGTGCTGCAATATTCTTTTTGGACAGCAATGGCTTCCTCCGTGGTGTCCTCCCATGTACTCCATTCTTGTTTAATGTTTTCCTTATTGTAGATGTGTCAACAAAAATGTTAGCATGTGCCAGAGATTTCTGTAGGTCTTTAGCTGACACTCTGGGATTCTTCTTTACCTCATGCAGCATTCTGTGCTGTGCTCTTGCAGTCATTTTTACAGGATGACCACGTCTAGGGAGAGTATCAACAGTGCTAAACTTTCTCCATTTGTAGACAGTCTGTCTTACCGTGGACACATGAACATCAAGGCTTTTGGAGATACTTTTGTAACCCTTTCCAGCTTCATGCAAGTCAACAATTCTTGATTGTAGGACTTCTGAGAGCTCTTTTCTGCGAGGCATGGTTCACATCAGACAGTGCTTCTTGAAACCAGTAAACCCAAAACAGGTGTGTGTTTTTTAAGGGCAGGACAGCTGTCAGCAACACATCCAATATCATCACACTGATTGGAGTCAAGGTTGGCTCACTCCTGGCTCCAATTAGCTCTGGGAGAAGTCATTAAGCTAGGGCCTCACATACTTTTTCCTCCCTGTACTGTGAATGTTTACATGTTATGTGCAATTAAACCATGGCAACATCTAATGTTTGTGTAGTATTATGTTCAGCAGACTGTGTTCTTCTATTGTTGTGACTTAGATGACGTTCAGAGCACATTTTATGCCCAATTCATGCAAAACTCCATGTAATCCCAAGGGGTTCACATACTTTTTCTTGCAACTGTATAATAAAACATTCATTGTAACAAACATGCTGTGTATAAATCAGAACTACCAATAATTGTTCCTCATCTACCTGATGATGGTGAGGGATGGTGTGACCTTCCTGTGTGGAAATACAAAATACTATCTTTTCGATGCTCCCTCTACCACCCCCAACAGTGCAACAACATATATCAGCAAATGTCCACATATGAGTCCATATATAGTGCTTTTCAATATATAGTGCTTTTTCAAACGTTGAGGACTATTCCACTTTGCTGATTATTCAATCCAGGAACCTCAAATCAGGATACCTCAAAAGAAATAAACTCAATATAGTGCATTATCATTACAACAGAGAAAAACACTTGTGAAAACTAAAAGTGATTCCTCCTAAACTCCCACCCGTGACAAATCAGCACTCCAAAAAAGTGATTTAGTGCAACACTCCACAACCAGTGTCACCATCCAAATAGACTAAATACCATTACCCTCTCATGGAAAATCACATGCATCCAAATGAAATAGTGCCCTCTTTCTTGTGATATAGAATACCATTACCCTCTTCCAATGCAGACCAAGCAAAAACTCCTTCAAGGCAGTCCAAAGATTCCCCCTCTCCGGAAGCTTCCTACTGCTTCCAATTCACCTTCCCCGTTCCTCAAAGGGGGCAGACAATACAAGACTCAGTAGAGTATATAAAAAGGATTTCACAAATTTATTCACAGCTTACATAGAGACCGCCAGCGTCCATCCTCTCCCACAGTCCATATAGCTGAACTCCAGAATTCAAGATGGCCGTGCCGCTCCTTCCGGTTTGAAAAAAATGTATTGTTACGTCCGTACGTTCTGACGCGTTTCGTCACTTCCGACTTTTTCACAAGGGTTCCGGACGTCTAATGTGCGGCTCCTCTTATCCTACTCTCAGCACTGGCAAAGAGAGCGAGCCTCCATCTTAACTAATGGCAACAGCCACCACTTCCTATGCCTTCTAGATACGGCTTTAATATACGGAAAGGCGGACTACAATCGTATTTAATACATCTAAAACCAATTCTAAATAAAAACATACACTTATTTTCCCAATAAAATACTTCTATAGATAACTATACTCTAGTTATCTAAAAACGATCATATGAATATAGGGAATATATCCACCAACCCTCCTACTCCCCCTATTGTTCAAGAATATTACAGCAACAAATTATCACATCCTACTAACCACTCATAACTTCCATTAATAATGATATTAACATTAACATAAATATATATATCAATCTAAATACCAATTACCCTTATTGCTTCCATATTATCACTCACAAACTGAAATCCTATACTAAAATATTAATATATTAAGGTCTGCTTACTAAAATGAAACCCCTACATGGACTAAAATTAGAATATATATATATATATATATATATATATATACAGTCATGGCCGAAATTGTTGGCACCCTTGATATTTCTCCAGGAAATCATGTATTTCTCACGAAACGTATTGCATTAACACATGTTTTGCTATACACATGTTTATTCCCTTTGTGTGTATTGGGACAAAACAAAAAAAGGGAGGAAAGAAAGCAAATTCGACATAATGTCACACAAACCTCCAAAAATGGGCTGGACAAAAGTATTGGCACCCTTTCACAACTGCGGATAAATAAGAATGTTACAAGCATGTGATGCTCCTGTAAACTCACCTGGGGCAAGTAACAGGTGTGGGCAATATAGAAATCACACCTGAAAGCAGATAAAAAGGAGAGACGTTCACTTAACCTTTGCATTGTGTGTCTGTCTGTGCCACACTAAGCATGGACAACAGAAAGAGGAGACG